TCACCTTTCTTCCCCATACTGATGCTCGGTTTGAACTGCACGAGATTGTCTTGACCATGTCTACATGCCTAAATGCACTGAGTTGCCGCAATGTGATTGGCTGCTGAGAAATTAAGTGTTAACAAGCAGTTGGACAGGTGTACCTAATAAAGTGGCCGGTGAGTGTAGATCAAAATTCATACCCAGCTTGTCATTTTAAGTGTTTAATATTCACATAATGTAGACAATGTGCTTAGCTTTTGGGACATAACTATTTTTACTGATTCGAAAGATTACAACAGGGTTTCCGCGGGTCATTAAAAATCATTAAATGTTATTAAATGATTATTTTTTAAATTAAGGCCTTAATTGGCATTAAAATTCATTAAATGTGTTTATTGTCGCATTTAAAATGCGTTCTTTAAAAAAAATGTTTATAAAAACAATTTCGTCAAACATATTATATCACAATATATTTGTGTGGAACTGCTTCCAGTTGATCGCAAAGCTGTATGTTCAGAAAAAGCTAGAGGATGGGGGGAAAAATGCCAGTTTCAACAAAAGTGGCTGGAAAACGCGGGATTGGAAACATGGCTGCAGCCTGCCGATGGGTTTTGTGGGTGGCATTAAAATTATTTCTAAGAGCATTAAAAAGCATTAAGTTAGAGTTGTTTATTCCTGTATAAACCCTGTACAATTATTATTATTATTATTATAAGGTTCTATATAATTTTTTTTTAAGAAAAGGGAATTTAATTTGTATAGCACATTTCAGTAGCAAGACAATTTAAAGTGCTGTACATGAAGAAAGAGAAAAATAATAGGGAAACTGAATTGCATTTGCATACAGATGGGTATATTTACAGATGGGTAAATAAATCACGAAAATATATAAAAAGAATAAAACGAATAATTCAAATAAGAGCATAAGCCATGAATATTATAATAAAAGAAGATAAGAAAGTTAAAGAAAAATTTGACTACGCACTGATATTGTTTAGATAGCACAATCAAAGGCCACTTTGTACAAATATATCTTTAATCTCAATTTAGAGCAACTTTGGATTTTAGCACTTTTATTGTTTTCATTCCTTATCCACTAACCCAGGCATCCCCATACTCGGTCCTCAAGGCCCCCTGTCCTGCAGGTTTTAGAGTTTTCTCTGCTTCAGCACAGCTGGTTATAATGATTGCAGTAGACCAAAAGCCTGTTAATCAGCTTTCAATTAAAATCAGCTGTGCTGGAGCAAGGAAACCTTCTAAAACCTGCAGGACAGGGGGCCTTGAGGACCCAGTTATGGGATGCCTGCACTAACCAATTGTTTCACTCGGATACCTAAATTAGATGTTGAATATTCTTTTGTATATTCTTCATGTTCACTCACAATTTTCACTTGGCCAAACCTCTGATCAGACATTTTTAAAGAATCATCTCAAGGTTTTTTCAGAGAGAAAATGGTGTAAAATGGTTTATGATTGCAAGGATAGTTTATTCGTCCTTGCGCTAAGGTTTTCTTTACGGCTGCAACTAACAATTATTTTGCTAATCAATTCATCTGACGATTATTGTTTTCACTTAATAATCAGATAAAAGGTTCTTTAAAGACGAATTATCTTTACAGAACAAAGTGGAGTTCTTGATAGAACATATAGACGGATTTTAATTATTGCTCTAAGTGTGTTGCCCTGTCAGCTAATAGAATGTTTTAGAGTCTCTATTCTCCAGTTGACGATTATTTCAATAATAGTTTAATCCAGTTAATTGTTTCAACCCTAGTTTTATATGTTTTTTGTTTGCTTTTTAAAAGCTTGTTTTGATTTAAACCGTAAACCCACATGTACTTTGTGTTGGTTTAAGTTCAGAGGGACTTACCAGCAGGCTTCCCCTTTTGGACTGATTCTTTGTTTTTCTGTGGCCCTCGTTTTCTTTACCTCATCCCATGAATGTGTCGTGGTGAAGATTAATCAGTTATGGGCCCGAAGCTGGAAGCAGATCAGATTGGATCATGTAGTAGATGGTGCTCATAAAAGCACTCTGCCTCTCATGAGCGAAGAGTTTCTGGAAAATGCTTCAAGCAGCATTTGAAACTGTCCAGATAAAAAGTTCAAGAGTAAGACTTCTGTCATTTAATTGATGGTCTCATGTTTCACCACTTTGTCATCTGGTCTATTATTTAGGGTTTGCTTCAGTTTAGGGTTCAAAGTATTTTGCATAGAAATCACAGGGTTCATAGTAGAAAGATGAATGTGTGCTTTGAACCATTGCCATGATTTCTTTTAAATGTGAGTTTGCATATAGTGCTTTTTGTGTGTTTCCTTAGTGGAGCAGGTTCCAGTCGATGCCTACACCATCCCTCTCTCACAAGCTGAGGTCCTACAGGAAGGAAGTGATGTCACGCTGGTTGCCTGGGGGACACAGGTATGCGATATCGACAATGTGTGCCGACTGAATGAATGATGGGTTAATGAATTAATCTAAAGTTGATTGATCTTATCAATCGAGTAACAATTCATTGATAAGCATCCATTTTCTTTGAAAAAATGAGTTTTCTCTTGTATTAATCAGATTTTTCCTTTACATGAAGGGAAAAAAGTTGATAATTTTATTTAAAAAAATATATTGAGCCATCTGTATTAAACACAAATAAACAAAAAATCTATCTTGCACGTTATTAAAGGGATAGTTCGGGATTTTTGACATGAATCTGTATGGCATCCCCATCACCAGTGTCATGCAATCACACTGACTTACCCCTGGTAGCATCCTGTGAGCAGAGTTCTCGTCCAGCTTTGGTCAAGCCGAAAGTAGTCCGGCAGGTTTGCTAGACCCAGTGAAATAAAACGTTTCTCTTCCCAAAACATTATGTGTTCAAAAGAGTGATATTTTTGCATCCCAAAAACATTGTAGTGGAAAAAGTCACACGTCGTTATCACTTGGTCCTATTTTCTCTCTGTTCGTATCAGTGCGCGCCGTCATTCTGACAGCGAGCTCAACAACAGCCAGATGTCTCGCTCCGCCTAGCTAGGAGCTAGGCGGAGCGAGACATGCATCTGGCTGTTGTCAGGTTAGTAGGCCCTAGCTGTCAGGTCATGGTGTCCTTCCCCATCTACCGTGCTTATTGCCAGCATGTCTTTTTCTGTCATGTTACTAACGTTTGGCATAACGCCCTCCACTTTTCATCATCATATCCTCACATTTCAAACACAGCAGAGAAGTTGACACTGCTAGGCCATGCAGCACCGCTAAATGTAAACCATTTAGGTGATAACTTATGGAGTTAATGATTGTTTGTGATTAAAAAATCCATTCTGCACCTGTGTTGCAATTAAAAAGTGTAAATAATCTGGACGCTGGATTGTTTCATGTTTCTGCTATAACATGCCTCCACTGTGGTGTTACTTCTCTCTCAAAAGGCTCTGTTTAAAGTCGTAGGGAAATCATATTTAAATGTCAAATAATTCTGGTGTATAAATGGGTATAAATGTACTCTTTATCAGACGATTTTGTCCCAAAAGTTAGAACATTTCTATTTAAAAAAAAATCCTTTTAAAATTCTGTTATCTTATGCAGGCCAGTTAGTTATACGTCAGCTTGTACACCTAAATTCGGCTAATCATATATCAACATTCAGCTGTCAATCAAACTTTTTCGGTTATAGCATCAGTTGAAATAAGAAATAAGAACAATTTAATTTACTTTACCATTGAGTTCCGTCCCAGTGTTCATGGGGATGGACCGCCCTGGCGTCCTCTTACACAACATCTTCGTCCCCGCTTTCCTCCTCTAATTAAAAAATGTGTGATGGAGGAGACTCATCCACGACCTCCGACACTAAACTCTCCTCCTCTTGCATGTTTCCGCTGTCCATAGCGTTCCTTGACAGTGTTTTTTCTAAGTCACCAATTTAGTGCTACTTGGTCCCAATGGAATTTCCCGTTGGGAACCTACTAGCACTAAGTTGCTAACTGGTTAGCAAGATGCTTCAGACATACTGGCCACAACCAAACTTGCTTGTGAATCTTCCACCACAACAATCCCGCCCTCTTGATAAATGTGTAAAGTGTAAAGTCGTTCACCACTCGGGAGAAGTCGGGGGAAATGGTTGGAACAGCCGTTTCCCTACGACTTCAAGAATGAGCAGCAGCGCCCTCTAGTGGATAATGGTCCAACTGTTAAAGTAATTCACTTAATAATATTATATTAATAGTAATTATTTAATAAATTAATATTATATTAATAGTAATTTAGACGATTGATTAATCTGATAGAATACATTTTAATCTTAAACTATTAATAGTCAGTCATGAATTGATCATATGTCTACAATTAGTGATCTGTTTTTAGTAATTTCATGATCATTGGAGTCATGTCCCTTTTCCATTAAATGTCATGTAAGGCAACAAAGGCTACTAGTGGATTAATATAAGTCCATCACAAAGCCCTGTTTTCACAGCAAGGTTTCTCAGCTGGCAGTCTTAGACTGGGTCCACAGTGCAATCCACAAAGCATCAATGCACCTATTAAAACCCAACGTTTTAACACTGTGGGTTCTGATTTGCTCCTTTTATTGTTTCCTCTCTTTTTACCAAAGAGGTTTCATTTCCTGCAGCCTGTTATAAAAAGGACTGTAGCTCAACAGGAATCCTGCAATCAATTGTGCCCAGACTTCTTATTACGGTTAATCCCAGGTGTAATATACCTGCAGGGTGGCAGGAGGTCTAAGGGCATTCAGGTGAAACTTCTTCATTGAAGCCTTCAGGGTTTTTTGCTCAGGTTTGGGCAGAAAAGAGAGTCAATATTGTAAAGCAGTACAAAGCATGACAGGGAATTAAAATATATATATATATATATATATATATATTTACCTTTTTTCCTTATAAAATTTAAATTAGAGCCCACACACAATTTTTAAAAGAAATAGTACAGAACAGTGAACCAGAAGAGAACCAAAGGAAAACACCCAGCTCATCACATTAGTAAACCTACTCAGCTAAAGACCATTAAGGATCTGTTTCTCTTCAGGGATGTTTTAGAAGATGATAAAAACAAAAATCTATTTTGTATTTCTTCTTTTAGAAATGCCCAAGACATAGAAAAGTAATAATCCAACAGAAAATAACAGAAATGTCTTAATTTGTTCATTTGCTGGAAAGATGAGTTAAAAAAATATGTGCAATAGTAATAGGTGGGCCATGTCAACAGATGCAGTGTTAAGGGTAATCCTGATTATTTTTCTTTTTTAACATTATTTTTTCTTTCGGCCAGTTTGATTAAAAAAGCTATCTCCACTGCACTCCTTTCTTATTAGTTGTTATTTTTTGTTCGGACCTATTATAAAACATATAATCATAAAAAAGAAAAGTTTATTATTATGTTTTAATATCAGTAAACGATTAAGGTTTTTGGGAAATCTCCAACACAGAATTGTAATGCTCTGCAAATCGGCCAAGATGTAATGTTATCTTCTAGTCATGTAAGCTGCTTCTTTTTCACATAATTTTTCAAAAAAGTTACTTACAGCTAGAATATGGATGATGTTCTACAGACATTTTCAGTTCCTACTGTCCCTGAATGCAACAGCCGGGAATGGGCTGTTCAGGAGCTGTGTTGGGCTGTTAGTCATAATTCCATACCCTCATCTGAGGCCACCCCAATGCAAAATAGAGCAATACATTTGATGCCGGGGGAAAAGAAATCTGTTAAAGGAAGAAAGAAAAAAAAAAAAGTTTGGAATAAAAAAAAAAAAAACTCTTAGTAAAAAGAACAATAACAAAAAAAAAAACTTTTATCTGTAAAAATTGTATTTATTACCTTTAAATGTTTTTAACAATTGTTTTTGGAATTTTTTTTTTTGTTGTTGTTGTTTAGCTTGATTATAAAAATCCCAAACATTGCTTTGCAAAATTTTAGATTTTAAAATTACAGCGTAAATATTTTTCATATAAAAATACAGAATACATTAAATTTTATTGATTCTGCTTTCAGGAAGACATTTGCTTTATTTATTGGTTGTGTTGTTTTAACATAAGAATTATAATTTTACAGCACACATGTTGATTATCCTATAATGTTTTTATCCTTCTGTCATATATTTAAACCAGCTTTCCCGTACACATGTCTGACAATTTTGTTTTTGTTTTTTTTCTTCTGAATTACTGCATCATGTCCAAATTTGCACATTTTTTGTTTGGTATCAATTGATGAAAACAAAAAACAAACTCACACATGCACAAGAAAAAAAAGGTATTCTAATAATTTGTCCCATGGAAAAATAGGATAAATATGGTATAATATGCTAAAAGTGTTGATGGTTCTGATACGTTTTTACCTCTACAGGATCTCACTTATTTCAAGTATGCATGTACAGGTCTGAATATTGGAGTGTTGATATGTTTTAGACCATTAACCATTCATGGGTCTAAATTAGATTTGAATTAATCAACTTATGAGCTTCATGGGTATAAAAATCTGTCAGAACAGGGAAAATGTAAACATCTGTGGGATAATTATCCATCTTTTTCATTATTGTTAAATTGAACCAGGCTCACTCTAAAGCGTTACTTTTAGATCGCAGTCCAAATGTGAACAGGACTGGGGAGTGCCGGCCTAGTGGCTAGGGCATTGAGCTTAAGCAAAGACTTAATTTCTTTGCTTTGTACTTGTGACACTGTAATGACAAAAAAAAAACAGCAGTTAATATTATCTCTTTCCTTTTCCATTTAGATCCATGTGTTAAGGGAGGTGGCCAACATGGCTCAAGAGAAACTTGGGGTTTCCTGTGAGGTCATCGATCTAAGGACCATCCTGCCCTGGGATAATGAAACTGTTTGCAAGGTAAGTGGTCACCACTCAATAGTGTCTATCATCGTTGGACACTTTATTATTGGAATATGATCTTAACAATGAAAGAAAAACATAGTGATATAGATAATATAAAGAACGGTTATATGAGTAAAAATCAAACAACAAATCTTGAAAATGCAATGAACCTGCTATTTCTGGAGGAGTAAATTGCGAATACTCCATATTTAATCTTCCTTAAAATGGAATCGCACAATGTTAATTACATAAGGTCCAAATGGTTAGTTCCCCATTATCCAGTCTTTAAATGCAGGATTCCTTTTACTTACACATTTATTACTCTGTGTTTAATGTAATAGCATGATTGGACATCATGGTAAGATCGAGGGAGCTACCTGAAGCCTTCAGAAGGATAATCTTAGCAGTTTATGAGTCTAAAAACAGTTTTGAAAGTAGTTTTTCACAAATATCCCCAAACGGCAAAATTTGAAAACACCTGCATTCATGCCATGTTCTGGCAGTTCAAGTCTTTCACCCTGAGAGCAGATGCAAGATGCTAAACAAAGTCCTTAAAAGCCTAACATAACGAATATGACTGTTAAACATTATTCTGGGGCTCGGTTAATACAACAAAATATGATCAGTTATGCAATAGACACCTGATTGATATCAATAGGAAAGGAGTCCAATAGATTTTATAGGTTCACCTAACTGCATGCCAGAACCACACGGCATTATGGGGGATATATGCAGACGAAAGGTTTAATCTATCAGCTTCTCACCACCAAGCTAAGCAAGGTTGTCACGAGGGCCGACCTAATATTTAAAGGT